TATGCAGGTTATTTAAGGAAGAAATTCCCCCGACATGAGACGAAAATGAACCTCTAGCCAATCATGCGCAAGTACAAGGATTGGAAGGCTCACAAGTCAACCGAAACCAACTTAAAATGGGGCCAAACCATCCTTGCCATAAGGGCTCACATGTAAGCTACTAGAGAAAGCCAGTGGAGAAAGGTGGGGCCCAAGGGTCAGCCAAACCCCTAGTTCGGCGAACCACTCCTGGCCCACCTCATCTCCACCTTACACATGAAGGGTCGTGATGGACTCCCAATGACGGTTGTGAGGGGTTAACCGCCATTCCAACCGTCATTAGTAGCTACAAAAGGAGGTCTCCATCCACACTTCAACACACACAACTTTGAGCTCAAGTAGAGTACAAAGTCACTTATAGTTTCATATTTAGTTTGTTAGTTTGGTACAGAGTGAAGGAAAGCTCCGGAAGGAGTTCCGAAATATTAGAGTTCCTCCTAGAATTTTATGGTAGAGTGCCGGAGTGTTAGCATTCTTCCAATGGAGTTTTGGAGAAAGCTGGGACTGTCGGCCTTCTTCTCTCGCTTGTAACTCGGCAGATGCTTCCTTTATCAAAGTAAGTGTTCGAGTTTCTATATGTTCTTTAATTAGTTTATTTAAGTGAGATATATTCTCATCTGTGCGGGTTTGTCGCTTAGTGTGCAACTGAGTGCTCTAGTACTAGGACTCTGGATAAAGAAGGAGTAAAGTAGTAATTAATAACTTAGGCGTGGTGTCTAGGTTAGAAATTACCTTCGTTTGTTGTGTGCTCCACGGAAAGTGAGGTAGGCGGCAGGTGGTGAGAACTATGTCTGTCCTTCGTATTTCAACACATTCGGGTACATCATAGAGCTCAAAGCCAAACTTAGCCTGGCAAACCAGGGGCATGCTGGTGCCCAAAACATACGATAGAGTTTTACCTTTAACTTAATTAACTAACTAAAAGACATAGAAATCCTCTCTAGCCAATTTATCTTAGGTTAGTGTCCTTGCATGAAATCCTGGTCATAGATAATATACACATGTTCCTCATATTCAATACCCTTGGAATACTCTAAGGGAAAGGGTATACTCTAAGGGAAAGTGCTACAGCGGTATTCCATGGGCTCGCGGACTTATCTGTGATAGTAAGAAATATTAACAACGATATGTAGCAAAACAAAATCATAATATCCACTAATACAAAAACCATTTTTCCTGGCAGCCAAAATCGATTTTCTCTGACGGCAATGCCAACCGCTAGCAATCAATGATTTTCGTAGCCGGAACATGCCCGCTAGAAAAGAAAAAGGATTTTGGCAGGCGGTCTCTTTAGAGGCACCACCAGTGAAGATCTGATTATCACAGGTGTTAGCCTTAGAGACTTGCCAGTGATAACCTTTTTTCAGAAGAAAAAAAAAGAGAAAAAACAAACACAAATCACAGCTTCCAATTCATTAAATTCCGGGATTGGATCACAAATCGATAGATTCCCAAGCCTATGCACAAAATCAACCATTTCATCTTCAATACAAATTCATAGATTGTAAATTCCCAAGCTCATACACAACAAATCCACAATACAAGTTGAAAGCAACAAATCAACAAACTGGCGAAGATGACTGTCACGTCCTGATAAATTCATCCCGAATTAAAAATCATTCTCTAAAAGGAATAATAGAATTAATTAAAATTTGAAAAGAAATTGGCAAATATTAAAATGCGTACAAGAAAAATTCGAATGTGGCCCGGAGAATTTTGGTTAAATTCTCCTTGGTCTAAAAGGAGGCCTCAAATTTTACTTGAAATTTTCAGAGCAACGGAATTATTTATTAAGCAACAACAACAATTAACAAAGTTTACTAAAAAGAAAAACTAAAAATAATCCCTCCTTCCTCCTTTGGGCCGAGCCCAGCCCGAAGTCTCCCTCTCCTCCCTCTCTTTCCCTCCTCTCCCGGTCCTCCCCTCCTCCTCCCGGCCCACTCCTTCCAATCCTCCCTCCCCTCCCGGACTGCCCTGCCCTGCCCCCTTCCACCTGGGCCGTGTCCCGGCCCAGCCGAGCCTCCCCAGGCCGCGCCGCACGAGCCTGTCACGCGCGCGCCCACGCGCGTTGACCGCGCATGGCAGGCGGGTCCCGCCTGTCGGACCCGTCTCCCACCTCCAGCCGCCGGCCTCCTCTCATCTCTCCCGTTCAAATCTATCCCTCTTCCTCCTCCAAATCCGCTCGAATCAAGGGCTTTAACTCCAAATTGATTGGGGGCTTTTATTCCCTAATCAATCCTCTTTGATTTCCCCTATTTTCCCCATTGAATGGCGCCCCCAATCGTCGGGAACGGACGCGTCTTCCCCGGCCGCCTTCCATGGCCGCCGGACACAAATTCCGCCGCCGTTCCCACCTCTCCCGTGCCCGGCTCCCTCCCCTATCCTATAAAATGGAACCCCCTCGGTCCGTTTTCTATTTTTTGCCCCCTCCCGCGCACTCCCGTGGCCTCATCACCTCTCCCCGCCGTCCTCCTCTCTCTCCCATGCCGCCGGCCGACTCCAGCTGCCCCTGCCGCTGCGTCAGCACTCCGGCCGCCCGTGCCGTCGCCTCCCCTTCCCCGGCCAGACCTCCGTTTCCCGCAGAGACCTTCAGAAGTGCATCCCCGCCGGCAACAGTGGCGTTGACGCCACTGTTCCGCCTCCGGCTGCCTCTGCCGCGTCTCCTCCTGTGCGCCGGCCGACGTCGCCACCACCTCCGGCATCGCAGCGGCGAGCCGGCGACGCCGTCCTCGGCATCGCCTCCCCTCCATCCGAACCCCTCCGCGGTCCGTCGTCGTCGTCACCGTTCGTCCTCGTCGTCGACGTCCCGTCGGTCGTCCGGCTCGTCGTCTCGCTGCGCCGTCATCGTCGTCGGCATCGCAGCGGCGTGTTCCGCGCCGTCCTCGCCTCCGTGCAGCTGCTGCCGGCTGCCCTCGTCGCCTCCCCGCCGGCCCCGGTCGTCGTCGTCCTCTCATCGTTCCCGGTCGTCGTGGCGTTCGTCGCTCCATCAAGCCGTTCTCGTCCGTCGTCCGCGTTCCGTCAAGTGAGCCGCTGCAGCCCCGTCGTCGTCTTCGTCCTCGGCTCCGCGTCATCAAGCGTTGCGCCGGCCGCGTCTCGCCTTCGTGCAAGGATCACTGCCGAAGTCGTCCCCTCGTCGTTCGTCTCAGCCGCGCCCGTTCGTTGTCATCATTCCCATGCCTCGTCGCGTGATGGTAAGGATCTCTCCTTCGCTGCCCCCGTCCTCGTCCTTTCGGTGTCGCCCCATCCCTATTGTGCGGTGGTCGACCCCGGTACCCGTGTACCGGTGTCGGTAGTCGTTCACTTGTGTGTGTGGTGACCATGTTTGTGTGCCCGCTCGGTAGCCGCGTGGTTTCACATGTGTAGCCCGCGTGGTGTCCAGTGGAGTCCGTTTGTCGGCCACTCGCCTCGGTTGACACACGGGGTCCGCTTCCGTCAACCCATGGACCATCTCTGTATACTCGGTCTACCGTGGTCCATTAGGTTGACATGTGGGGTCTGCATGTCAACAGCGTAGCTTTCCTGTCTTTTCCAAGTTAGCGCTTACACATGTTTTATAGTTGCAAAACCTAATTATAATAATCCACAAATCTCCATATAACAACATTAAACTTCAGATGATCATATCCTGGTCATATGAACTCCGAATCAACCTGTTCAAGTCTCTTAATTTCTATTATAACTTAAAGAACCCTGTGTTTTCTTTTTATGTATTGTTATTGCTTCTTTATAGGCTTGTAGCTTTGCTTGTGTGCTTCGCGTAGCTTCTGTCGTTCTGAAGGTTCCCGAAGCGTGGTTCGCGGTCGTCGCCGAAGGTTCGGAAGGCCGTTCTCTTTGAGCAAGGCAAGTCGCATCATCCTTGAGCATATTGAATCCTAATTTATAAAATTATTTTGGTTTAAATTATTGCATTACCGCTTTATTTAAATTCCCGCGTTATCACTGTTTTATTTAGCCATGCCTATTTACCTTTGTTATGACCTTATTATTATTGCTATTGTTATTATTACCTTGTTCACCCTAGAAAAATAAAACTTCAACTAGTGGGTACTCTATTCATGGTTCCACTAGTATGAACTTAGGTAGATGCTTCGCTGGTTAATTAGGCAACATTAGGTGGTTTTATAACTTTAGACTTTGGGAATTCTCATATCATTTGGACACTATGGAATGGTTGGCTTATGTTGGAATTGGACACACGTCCCCCACTATTCAAAACCCTCAAAACGGTTTTAGGCTGGGCTCGACGTGCGTGGTTGGGTTTTGTTAGTCGCACTTCGGGTACTATAAGGATTAAGCTCGGGCCTCTGTTGCAAAGCACTACCGTACTTCCACATGTCTAGTGGGTAAAGCGTAGTTTGTGGCTCAGTCTGGTCATAAACAAAGGTACACGGATGGAGATGGACGAAGTCGGGGCTCGATGGACATCTTTAGGACAAATGAAGGCTACACGAGCTGCGGCTCGGTAGTCGAGATGTCATGGCACAGGGCCGGTGTTCTGCTGCTAGGGGCTCAATTCTGCCTACCTGTCTCGGGGGTTCCGGTCGTAGGCGGGGTTGGGTCGGTACTCTTGTTTATGGCTAGGATGGGTTGGGAACTATGTCACGTCTTCCGTCCGTATGCCGTGGTGGTATGTGGCACGTGGTTACACGTGAGGAAGACGTGTCTTGTGGATAAATATGTACACCTCTGATCAGAGTATAATCTATTCGAATAGCCGCATCCTCGGTTATGGGCAAGCCTAGCAATGTACCCAAGTTAGTGTTTTAATTCTTAAAACCTGCTTAACAACTAAAATGTGGAATGGTTGGCTTGGGTTGGCTTGGGACGAGCTGGGACCTAGGTCTGGTTGCCAGTTCGGTCTAAATCATCGTAGGCCTTGAGTTAAGGCAGGTTCGTGTGGGTTCACGGCCTTGAATAATAACATTGTGTAGCTCTAGAATCGTCTTTACAAAATAGCTTTGGACAACTAAGTGACTTTTAAGTGCTGTTTACTGCAAAACTTAACCCCTATTATTATCCCCTTGTACCCCCTTGCATTAATCATTCATCTGCCGGTATGGCTTGCTGAGTACTGTGGTCGTACTCATTCTTGCTTAATCTTTGAAGAAATCTTTTCCTGGCTTATACCCTAGTTGAGCGCCTGTGAAGATGGAGCCATAGGCCCGTTAGTCCGCTGCTGTTTATTTTTGTTTGTTAGGCCTGAAGTGCCTTTGTAATAATGTAAATATTATCGATATAATAAAGATGTGTCTTTTATATCATGTTTATGTGGTGTACCCCGGCTTTTCCTGTGACGGGGATTAATACACTAGCGTCCTGGAAAAGGTATTTTTCCGGGCGCGACAATGACGAGGTGGACGAAAACTAGTGCGTAGGCGCAGCGAGGCTGACGAGCGCCATCCAAAGCCTACCGGCGGCTGTGGGAGGAACTTTGCCATCCATACCTAGCCTCGCCACAGCTTGCCCCTCTCCCCCAAGCTCCATTGATGGATCCTTCACCCGCAGCCCGCACCAGAGCTCTCCCAGCGGTGGGCCGTGACCCGGCTGCCTTCGTCACCAGATTCGGATCCACCGCTCCAAGGCCCACCACCCGGAACTGCTGCCACCAGACCTGGGAGGGCGGGGGCACACTATCGGTGATCCTCACCCCATGATCCACGCCGAAGCTCTCCCGCCGTGACCCCATCGCCGTCGTCAATCCAAGGACCTGAGGTTGCTGGATCCGTGCAAGGATCTGATGAGCTAAAATCAATGTGTAGAACATTTACTCTAGTGGTAAGCTAATTATGAAACTCTTTATTCTAGCGCCATTGTTATTATTTATCTAAACTCTTTATTCAACGGTGGATATGTTTTTGATGATGTGGCACGTTCTTATGTAAGAAAGCTTGTTGTTTTCACTATGTAAGATGTGTACAAGCACAACGCATAGACTAAACTTACACAAGGTAGAAAAATTCAAACTCTAGTACAAACGTACTGCAACTTTTAGTTTATTTTGATTTTTAGAACCTGCATTAACTTACCAGCATTTTTTTTATAACGGATCAACCAATTGTTGTGTCGAATCTTGGAAGTCCAAAGGTGTATTATTACAAAGGAAAAAGTCCAAATACCCCCCTAAACTTTGGATCAAAGTCTATCTAGCATCCTAAACTTTAAAACCGGACTTCTAACCCCTTGAACTTTGTAAAATCGTTCATACTACCCCGAAGGTGGTTTTGGATAAATAAAGCAACAAATCTGCAACATGATAAAGCCATCATGCTGTCATAGCTGCAGAGTGTCAACGTCCATCCGACTCCACCAATACTTACACCACCACTCCACTGATCATCGTTGTTGTCGCCGCCGCCGCCGCCGCTTTACCCATCATCATGATCTGATCTTCTTCACGGTCAATCAATCGATCTGCGAACAAGTGTCGCCGGCGGGTGCATGCATTATTATATAGGGGAAAAATCTGCGCAGTCTCACCTTGCCGTGCAAACATAATCTAAATCGATATATGAACGCAGCTTACACGGGACGGCAAAAAGAATGGGGAGCGCACGAACGATCTGGGTGTCGCTCGGATTATCGAACGGCGAAAACATTTTTTTTCTTTTTAAGTAGTAGAGGAATTCATGTTTAGTAAAAAAAAATGTTTGTAGCTTTTAATAAATTAGAAACTTTTGTTGGAGAGCTCTTAGATTTTCAATTTTTATCAGATTCGATTGACAAATTCTAGCGTGGCACCGACAATTGTATGTGATATAGTGTGACTGACGCCGGTGTGGCACTGTTTTGTTTTCACATTTTGAGCTTTTGTGTCTCTATATATTTTGTATTTACTCTGGTTTTAGAGTCCTACTTAGAATGTAGACCGTGTTGAATTGTTGATTTTTTTCCAAGGAAGTCTTGACTTTATTTTTAACCAACGCTGTTTGTTTTCATTCCAACGGCAGCGGGGTGACGCAGCATGGCGACCGCGGTGGAATCAGAGCACGACGACGGCGGTGGCTTGCAAGGTTACAGATCTGTGTGCAAGGTATTTTCTAAACCCTAGTGATTTGGTTTACTACTCTGTGGATTGATTGTGCATACTTGCAAGGTTCTCACATCGGTGTGAATGTTTCCAAATCTGTGTGCAAGGTTTCCAGATATGTACGGTAGAAAATGAAACAAGAAAATTAACTATGGATGCATATATGGATGTTTGGATGTACTTAATCATACGATAACTATGGATGTATATATGGATGCATACAGTTGTCTAAAGTTCATTGTGATGCATATATGGATGTAACCATGCGTGCTGCATATATATAAGCGCAAGTGTGATGTGAGTGTCTGAATGTATCATCCGAGAACTAGTAACCTCTATTCAGAATGTATTTGTGTTTCAATTTCAAAATGTATTTCAGTTTCAGTTTCTGATTGAAAATGACGAATGTGTTGCCTTTCAGTTTTGGATCTGTGATATGCCATATGTTATGCTTGCAATGAACCTCTATTACAGATCTCTAGCATGAGATTGACCAATAAAGGTTGTCAAATGTCAGATAGATCTCTAGGATGAATTGATTGAAGTCTGAATTTGGTTGGACTGTTTATATGTTCATAAGTAAAACATATGCAGTCAAGTCAGTAAAAACGTAAGTTATGAGTTGTTTGCCACTAGAATGTCTTCAAAAGATTAGAGAATATTTGAGCTCCACTTGATGGCTAGTCATTCAACTCCCCTGCTTTCATCCCAGACCAATAGATGTATTTGTATTTTAGTTTGACACCGCAGGTTCTTTTTTCTATTGGATTCATTCACCACTTATTTAGAGTGTTGCTTGTTTTTCATGCAGCAAAGTCATGCCAATTGCACAGGACAACAGAAAATAATTTATGTCATCCTCTATCTGGAAGAACCTTTTGTTGCCTAAAGATACCCAGCTAGCAGCTAATTGTATATTGCAAACAAAAGACCTCTCAACGTTCTGCTGCTGAAATATCAACGGATCGTGACAGAGCATATACTAGTAACGTGTACATTCTTTTTTGCTTTACATACTTGTGGTGTTGAAAATTGTTACAGAAAATTGGCATTGATATATTGGTGAGAAATTTGAAAATCATATTTATGCCTTATAATCAATTGATATTAATCGTACATCAGCAATAAGTAAACAGCAAAACCACAAGGGTAGTATTGTCATCTCCCCAATATTCTCTCTTTCATGATTTCTGGAGTTGACGAAGCTAGACAAAAACTTTGAGGGCCACCTTGAACTCCTGTAGGAGCTAGCTCCCACCAAAGTTGGAGTTTAGAGCTACTAGGATCTGGGAGTTGAGCTCTACCAAACAGACCCTATCTCTCCTCCTGGAGCTGGAGCTCAGCCAAACAGTTTCAGCTTTACCTAAAAGGGGAGCGGAGCTGGGTAGAGCTCTCTCACAAAATAAACTAGAGAGGTAGAGCTGAGTTTAGGAAGCTCCATAACTCTACTCCAGAACCAACTCCTGTAGCTAAATTTTGGAGTTGAAGCCCTAAGTAAACTCTGAAAAATAGAAGTAACTCTTCTAGAAATATCTACCGTACTGATTTAAGAATGAGAATAAAATTTAGAGGAAATTATGTATGAGAACAAAGTAACTCTTTAAAAAATAGAAGCAACTCTTTAAAAAATTAAAATAACTATTCTACATGGTTTTTATTGATTTTTTTATTTCTTCTGTATGAAACCTAGATTTTTTTGTTTCAGTTGAATGTGTTTTTTCTTTGGGTTAATTGGATCCATACCACTGCAATTTTCAGAAATTAAAAAAATGTCACTAATATTCATTATATCGGGCTACATGCCACTAAAAATTTCTAAAAATGGAACCATACCACTCTCATCCCATTTTCCCCCATTTTCCGTCTCCTCTCAAACGCCATCTCCATCTTCCATCTCCATCTCCCTCTTCATTCTCCCTTCTTCTGGTTGCCGAGTTTGCTCGGCGTCGAGCACGGCAAGGACGGCGGCAGCGGCGACACCCGTTTCCATCCACATCCCATCCCTCCTTCCTCATCTCCGGTGAGCGCCAGCGAGCTGAGGAGGTCACGGTGGCCGCGGCTAAGGAGGTCGGAGAGGAAGACGGCGACGCCAGCGGGGAAGTGGTTGAGGGAGTGGAGGAGGTCGCGGAGGTGCGGGAGCGCGCGGTGGACGACGGTGAGGATGCGCGTCGGCGGGGAGGTCGTCGAGGGAGCGCCGGGGAGCGCAGTGATGGAGATGGACGACGCCACCGGCACCAGCTCCTCGCCGCCGGCCTCCTCCCACGCGTTCACCAAGTGCATGATGTTGAAGACCGGCACCTCGAACCACGACGGGGTTGAATGGCGAGCGGTCGCCGGCCGCCGCCGCCGCCGCCACGGCAGCCCGTCTTCTTCCCCATTTGACCCCGGTGTTGGTATTTTTTAACGACATTACTAGAAATATAATTCTCAGCAATGGTGCAGAAATACTCCTGGTATATCATGGTCACAGAGTTAATCCGCAAGCGCACGGATATACCATTGTAGCATTTCACCCGAGAGTATTCCAAGGGTATCGTATTTATTTAATCCCATGGGAAGATCATAGTAGAGAGAACCTGACTAATAATTTACATGTTACTTGTAATAATCATAGTCTAAGCAGGGGTTAAGTTAATCCAAGGATAGATTGACATACAAGCAGGAAGCTACTCATTCTCATACTAAAATATCCAAGCTAAGTGGAAACAAAAATAGAAAGAGAATCTATTCATATACTTCTAGTATACATAGTATACATACATCCTAGTTATCTGACATACTAGCTAATACCCTCTATCCGATGCCCTCCTGGTACTTCGAGAAGCCACCCCTTATTGCCGAGTTCCTTACGACAGCCCATCATGACCATACAACTGGGGCTAAATACGGAGGAATACCCTCACCAGGAAATTAACTAAGGACTATATACACGCGCGGAGGAATACCCGTACTGAGCTGTCACCATCAGCGACCCACCTCTCATGCGCAACATATAACCCCAAATAATGATATCCCGTAATCTAGACACCACGCCTAAACTAACAGATGCTACTCTAATATCATCGTCATGACATAGAGTAATTGCATAAGTAAATACTATACCTGTACCAAAGCATCTCCCAGATAAGCTAGCAGCACAATCAGTATAACATAAACATAATGTTATACTAACCCATGGGCTGGGTCCACCTGGCCCAAACTCGAGAGGTGGTCTCTTCTGTTGCTACTTTGTGCAGACTTGTGAATTTTGGTACAGTTCATCGTGTCAATTCTGAGTTCTTGTCTCATTCGTCTGATTCTCGACTCCATCCGATTGATTTATCGTCTGATTCGATGTCGATTCTCCTCCACTTTATGGTTATTCTCTGCAAAAGATTAGTGAGCCCAATACTAGTGGAATATTATTATTATAACATAGATATGCATTGCAAGTATAACTAGTTTTCCTCTATTTTAGTAATAGTGACGGTCGAAACTGATCGCTAACGACCGTCAACACCCGGTCGAAATCCTGACTTCGAGACAACGAAATTGCTAAATCCCCTGACTCCTCCGCCACATGGGTCCTGCCAGCGGGTCCTAGCCAACGGCGAGGCTGTGGCTGTGCTAGCCCTCCAAGGTGACGATGAGCATCGACGGGTCGGCGGGGTCGCGCTCCACATGCTTCCTCGCCGGACACCTACACAGCATGCTGCACTTAGGGTGAGTGTCAGAAGAAGGGGATTGAGAAACTTGAAAAGATACGTAAAACAAGATGAGCTATTAGCGCATAATTAATTGAGTATTAACTATTTTAAATTTTAAAATGGATTAATATGATTTTTTAAAGCAACTTTTCTATAAAAAAAAGTTTTGTAAAAAATATACCGTTTACTAGTTTGGGAAGCGTGCGCGTGGAATATGATGGGCTTTCTCACCCAATCCCCCAGGAAGGAACGCACCCTTATAGTATCCCCTACGTTGATGAGATTAGTTAATTTTTTTTAATCACTGAGAGGGATTAGTGGCGATACCCACATGCGGCAGCTCATCCACAGGCGCGAAGTTGCCGGTCAGCACGTTCCACGGAGCCGTGATGGACGGGCGCCGCCACCGCCCTTGCTGTGCTCGACGTCGGAAACGGGGATAACGAAGAAGGGCGAACAAAGAGGGAAACAGAAACAGGGACGGCGTTTGAGAGGAGATGAAAAAAGGACAGGAGTAGCATGATTTTAATTTTAGAAATTTTCAGTGGCATATAGCCGATATGACGAATATTAGCGGTATTTTTTTAATTTTATAAAATTGCAGTGGTATGATCCAATTAACCATTTTTCTCTTGATGTGATAAGGGTAAAATTTGCGTGTGATTGTGTTTATTACAGGTGGTGCATGCGTAGCATGATTCTATTTTTGGGAAAAGAAAAATGTTGTGGTAAGTGGCGGCACTATCTTTTTGCAACGTTGCGGTGGCTGGTTTAGACGGCAATATATCCTATGCACATAGGCCCTCACGTGTACACACATGTACACCAACTAAAACATGTCACCAAAAAATCTAGAAAAAATCATACACATATTTTCAATTGTATTACACTTAGGGTTAAAATCTTAACGTCAAATTCATTATATGTTAGCCGTAACAAAAAAAAACAAAAAATCTGACAGTTTTAAGGTTGCAATTTTGTCAGAATTTTATCTTTTTTGTTATTCTCTATGTAGAATGAATTTGAAGATGCGACTTTGCACGTAGATGCAATACTATTGAAAGTACATGTATGAATTTTTCTAGAATTTTTTGTGATAATTTTTAGTTGGTGTACACGGTGTGTACACGCGAGGGCCTGTGTGCATAGGATACGTTCCCGGTTAAGACAACCGCGTTAGTGCGCGTTGCGCAGTCATCACACGCCCCCCCCCCCGCCCCGTCAACCCCGCACAAAGACACATCTACTGTGGGTGTTGTTTCTAAATTTTTTTTAGATAATGGATTATAAAAAACCTGGCCTCTACACTTGTGAGGGTGTACGCAGTCTAAGGTGTTGCTTCTAAATTTAGATGGAGATGAGGTGTATGATGAATTCTTTGTTTTTTTAATAATGAAATAAAACATTCCGGGCTTTGCTCATGAGTTACAGCCAATTATCACAAGGTTCATACAAAAAGCAAACACACACAGTGAGTAAGTATCCAAAATAACAAAACCAAAAGTAAAAGCAAACTAATAAAAACCAAGTAAGGTAAAGGCCCCACAACTACTGAATTCTATTGGTGAATCTCCACCTGAAGTTGACAAAGAGCTTCATGATTGTCGACTCAAGTTTACGACACACATATTTTATTAGCTAACTTGATATGATCATTATGCCTTTATAGTTGAGCCCATTCCCGGAGCCAATATGATAACCTGAAAAGAACCTGCAAGTAAAATTTTAAAGGTGATCTATCACAAACCATTTCAATTATAATAAGTCAGAGAGCCCAATATACAGCGCAAGCTCCAACAAGAATACACTACTACAAAATGCATTTTTCCCAACATAGGGGTCTGATTTTCACAGGCGGACATAACCCTTGAAGCCAAATGACCGTCTACAAAAATATAAATCAGGGTGAAGTTGATTTTCGCAGGCGGACCACTTAAGCGACGCTTTCGCAGGCGGACCACTCAAACCGCGCCTGCGAAAATGGTACCTACCACAAATATTTATAAGTCTTATCTTCTCCTCCACCCCTCCCCACCACTCATTTCCCTCACTCAGCTCTCTCTCTCCCTCAAACACTTTCCCCTCCCCTCCCCTCCCCTCCCCTCAACGCGCGTCTGGGCGTCGTCCCCCTCCCCTCCCTCCCTCTACCGGCGGCGGCGGCGGCAGCGACAATGCGCGCGGGGCGGCGGCGACGACGACGGCTGCGCGGGGCGGCGACGACGATAGCTCGGCGACGGCGGCTCCAACCCCCCTCCCTCCCAGATTCGGCCGGAGGAGGGAGGGGGGAGGCTGGCAGGGACGGCGGCAACGACGATGGCGAAGCGGGGCGGCGACGACGATGGCTCGGCGACGGCGGCACCAATCCCCCCTCCCTCCCAGATTCGGCCAGAGGAGG